CACCACCACATCATCTATACCACCACACCATCTACACCACCACCACCACCTACACCAGCCCCACCACCACCATCTACACCAGCCCCACCACCATCTACATCAGCACCACCACCACCAGCACCTCCATAACCACTAACACCACAAAACAATCTTCATAATTACTGAGGACATCACTCCTTTCAGCCCTTCTGTGGAAGTAAAAAAATCTTACCCAAAACTCCCTATAAAACTTTTCATCTGATAGAGCTTGTGGAAAGTATTATCATGAATCTTTTATTATGTTCCCAAGTGAAAATAGCCCATATGTGGCTAAAAGTCTGGGCACTCTTTCTTAGAAGAACCTTTTGGCATCTGCAACTGCAGCTAATACCGATAAATACTTATGGATGTCTTAAAGCCTTGGGTATACATTAAAAATTTTATACCTTAGCAAAATTCAGTTATCTAATATTTAGTTATCCGTACAATTTACATTTTACAAGGCTTTATGTCAGTACTAACAAGAACACACTGAATTGGTACTTATAATTTGTTGCAAATCAATCCCTCATGGTACATGTGAATAAAGACTTGAATAATACAACAGCTTTCACAGTCACTAAAGTGAAGGCTCTGCAAGAGCGACGTGCAGATGAGTAACTCAGTTTCTGGAAATAGCAGAGAGATTAAAAGCTATGTAAGAGACCAAGTAGCTGACATGCCAGTTCACACACTGGAGTCCCACTAAGCTTTTGGCTTGTCTCTCAACATTCTAAAAATCTCCAGCTACATCTTCCCCCAAATATCCCAAGGCCACTTATGGTTTTCCAGACAGTTTAGAAAGAACAATTCCATCTGTATTTTCTCAAACACAAGAGGAGGGAAGTACAGAAGACACCCTTCACATTACTCTTCATTCCTAGAGGAGGTGGGTATCATCACGAGTCTAAATCAAATATTCAAAGTTAACTCTCCCCCACAAACTGCACACCCAGAAGCACCCTTACTGTTTTTTGAATGCTTCAAATCATGACATTACCAAACCCTGATAATCACTCCCCTTCTTCTCTGCCCCCAAACTAGAAAGTCAAAGAGCCTAAGATCCCACGAAGATCTTTCAAAGCCCTCACAAATTCATCGGGTGCCTACTTTCCTTTAGAAATTCGAGATCAAGTAAGCAAGAATCAACTGATTCTATTTAAGATGAAGAATGGGAGAAATTAAGACCTTTCTCTATTTTCTCTTTTATTGGGCAAGTGGAAGTTTAGCTCAAGTTATTTCATCACCAGAATACCAAAATGAATTAATTCCACTATTCTTTTTGTGCTCCTCACCCATCCCAACAAGACACCAAGGAACAAATAAAATCATATGATAACCAGATGTTTCCAAAATAGGAAAAAAAAAAAAGCATACAGAGCTATGAGAAACTTTACACACCACACATTCCCCAGCTTCAAATGAACGTACGTACCTTAAGGACAATTTTATTATCTGAAGTTGGCGTTCTCCCCACCCACAGTGCAAATTTGCAAGGATCTCCTTCAACGTGCTCTGTGACACCCAATTCTGAGGTCTGGATAAAAAGACAATTATATAATTAGGCTACAGTAAAACTCTGGCAGGATGTAGAAGAGAGACCAAGAAAACCGTTTTTGGTTACTCGTGATCATACTAGATTCTAATAACGCAGTTTGTTTACATCGACAGGTTATCCTCGGATCACGTTTTAGTTAAAACAAGGACATTTCTTTCTTAGGCTACATGTGACTGGCGTCATCCCTTTCACTTCCTCTGAGCATGTCCACCGCCCATCCCAATGCAGGGTCAAAGAGCACAACCGCTAGAGGAGGGAAACAGAAAGATCCAGGACAATCTGGAAAATCAAGGGTTGACTATTTCCAACCTCGTCAACAACAAAGGAGCTTCCTCTAGTCCCAAAGGGCTGTCAAAGGTCTATTTAGCATTAACGAAGTCACTTCACACATGGCAAAAGGTATTTTAGCAGCTAAGTTACGTTCCAATATGTTTAAAAATAGCTATAACTTTGACTATTTCACCAATAATTTTAAGGACCAGGAGATAAAACTCTTCCCTGTAATCCCTGCGGTTGTAATCTGCCTAACATGGAAGAGTGCAGGTGAAGGTCCCATTCTTCAGACCCGCCCCAACGATCAAGTTAAGCACTAATGCATTCTTTCTCCCAGCAAAGGAAGTGATTCACAATCTATAGCTCCAGAGGTGGCCTTGGAGGGAACCTTGAATTAAATGAAGATGTATTAGCTTTTAAAACGGACTAGCTTGGTCTCTGAGGACAGATTAAAGCCAACTAATGAAATTACTCGCCAGCCGCAGTGCATTTTTTTCTTCCTGGTTAGAACATGATCTAAAATGATGTAAGGTGAGCTGTGCTCCAAAAGAAGATCTCAAACAGGATGCAAGCCAAAGAAAATGGCATGAAAATCGTTAGTTTAAACTCACAAATTCCAGGTTATTATTGAGATGACTGATATTTTATCTTTGGGAATTGGATTAATTGTTACAATCCAGAATGGTCTGATCTTTCAACCATTTTGAATGATTCCAATTTTTCAAAATAAAAAGTTAAAAACAAAAAATGCATAATGTACAAATTGTCCACATTCCAAAAATCTATCGACATTTATAAGGATCTGCCATACCGCGTAAAAAGAAGAAACCAAATTCTCTTGCATTTTCTAGTCTCCCTTCCTCTGATGCTTTGATTCACCTTTGACCGATCCCTCGTCTGCCCCAAGCTCCCCAGCAATAATGTGCTGACAGCCCCCCAGGATATTACTCATGAAGGGGAAATGGAAGTAAAGTGGACTCAGAGGACTACATGAGCCTCAAACTTCCCTGAGATGTGCTTTATAAAAAGGTTGTTCAGGCTCGCTACTATACTTGATGGTACCACATACGTTTCTATTGTCAGGAAGTACATGGAGAAGTTAAAATAAGAATTAAAATGCATCGCTGTATCTATCAAGCAGTGAAGGATGGCTGTTGTACACAGGTGGGATTAGGGGGATCTAAAACTTTATTTTTGTTTACATGTATTTTCTCTAATAATCCTGTTCTGCTATTGTAAAAAAAACAACAACAACATAGCTCTTCTTTTAATTAAGAAAAAACCCCTGATCATTGAGTACATCCACAGTAAGGCAGCTTAAGTATCTTCTAGTGTTAATGAATGAAAACTTCATTATAACGATATAGACAATCTTCGTCTGGTATGGTCAATTTATTTATAAAGCTACTTACGGCACAGAGGAGATAAGTGATTTAAATTCACTTACAAAATCTTTCCTTAGATCACAGCGTTTATGGAATTTAGAAAAATCACTTCCTAAGAGGTGTAGTGAAACTCAAGAGGGCCCCCTAGTGGACCTGGGAGTGTCACAGATTTTCAGTGAAGGAGATGAAAACATTAAAGCAGTTTCAGACTCACATTTTAGGATAGTTTTTGGCGGTTAAACTGAAGGCAACAAACAGTGATTTTTCTCTTCCTACAAAAAGGTGGCAGCTGTGTTACATTTAAACCTACAATTCTGAAGGCCTATACTTACAAACAATTTGCTTTTATAAAGGTATTTGCTTCTCCCGCTGGAATCTTTCACTTCTTTACTGAACACTAAGGACATTTCAAAGAGGAAGAGATGCCGTTCTCGACCCTTCCGAATTAAGGTTTTGGGGTCCCACACTTGGAAGGATTCCTGCAGGATGAGCTCTCCTTGAGACTCAATATTCTCATCAAACCCTGTAACACGAAGAAAAGTAGGCACAATCACTTTGAAAGAATAAAAACGATGCACAAGAAAGCATTACTAGCATTTAAACGTTTGCAAAATGTTCCTCACTGAAATCTCAGAGCATTTACATTTGTCTGGAACACATTTAAAAAAGTGTCAAGTACATGACTGACCCATTTGTAAGTATGGTTTAATCCAGGAAACTTGGCATTTCTGTAGTTCTTCCCAATGTCCAGTCAGTCACCACCAAGTCCTTCAATTTATCTGCTGCACTGCCTCCACCTGCCCCATCTTGCATATTCCCACACCACCGCCTGCCCAGGCTGTGGCCACCCTGACCTTCAGCATTTCCCAACTGGGCCCGACTCCAGTTTTCCCAAAACTAATCCATCCTATAGAGTAATTCTTACTAAAACACGACTTTGCATGTGTTTTTCCTTGTTCAAAACTATTCAGTGATTTCTGTAGCTTTACTCTCTAAGTTCTATCTCCTTGGCTTGGCGTCCCACCATTTGCCATTTGGTTCAGTCACCTGCTTTCCTCACAGCCTGCTTGTAGCACTCCACCATGAGCCTCCTCCTCTATCCAGAGTGCTTTGCTGGCTCTGCCCAGCCCACCACTCTCATTCTGGCCTGGGTCTTGACTCCCTTTGCCTCCTCAGCCCAAAACAACCTTCCCAGACACTCTGCTGAAGCACTAGCTTCTTCAGGGCCCTGTCCTCGCCTTCCTTCTCGTTGGTTGTCCTCCCTGGCTCCCAGTCCTTGGCGAGTCGTCCCTCCTTTTCATGTAAACATTCTCCGTGTGATTGAGCCACGCTCTAGCTGCACACTGGCTCTCTCTTCATGGAAGTGGCTGGTTTTATCACATGGACTCCAAAGTACCAGGCTTAGCAAAGCAAGCACCTTGGGTAGAGGATGCTCATTATCTCCCACCATCCACTCTCTCCCTCCTCTCTAATAGCAGAAGCCCCCTGTATGGCCATTTCAAATAAGTACTACCTTTCCCTGACACCTCTGCAGTTAGGAGCCATCTACACTCTGGCTGATGTTGAGAGCAACGTATACAACCTCTAGTTTCTGCTCTTCTAGATGTTCATTCCCTTCCCTTCTTCCTCACTTCCTGTTAGACGGAATGCTAACACGGTCTTGAAACATCCTAGACCTAGCCAGTCAGGACCACATTCTAGGATGGGAGAGAAACTAGCTAGACAGAGTCTGAGTCCATGATGATATCATGAAAAACTGCCATACTAGCTCAGGATTTACGTGAGAGAAAGGAAAGTGTGTCTTGCCTGGCCTCTGATGGAGTGGTTAAAGAGTTATGGCTGCTAACCAAAAGACTGGCAGTTCGAATCCACCAGCTGCTCCTTGGAAACCCTATGGGGCAGCTCTACTCTGTCCCATAGGACTGCTATGAGTCAGAATCTACTTGACGGCAATGGGTTTTTGTTTTGCTATTAACCAAATGGTTGGAGGTTAGAGTTCTCCTTGAGGCACCTCAGAAAAAAGGTCTAGTGATCTAGTTCCAACATTAGCCATTCAAAGTCCTATGGAGCATAGTTCTCTCTGACACACATGGGGTTGCCCTGAATTGAAACTGACTCGACGGCAATTGGTTTTTATCACACACAGCAGCACCTATTTCATAACAAATAAGGCAGTGCTCAGTGTGACTGATGGTAATGACACAGAGAATCATAAGCGTTTGAGGCAGGACTCCCTGTTACCGTTGAATTCCAACTCACAGCGACCCTGGAAGACAGAGCAGAACTGTCCCCCAGGGTTTTCAAGGCTGTAAATCTTTATGGAAACAGACAGTCACATCTTTCTCCCATGGAGTGGCTGGTGGGTTTGAACCACCAACTTTTTGGTTAGCAGTCAAAAGCTTAACCACTGTGCCACCAGGGCTCCTTGAGGTAAGATTATTTCTTGTACATAAGTCTGTGAAACCTGATAAAAGTCAAGCTCTGAAACAAAGAAACAGCTTTCTTAAGCAGAAGCATTTGTGGAAATTATAACTGCTCTAATAAATTTAACATAATCATCTAATTTCCTCTTTACCAAGTTACACACCAAATTCAACTCCATAAGAAGGTATTTGGCACATCCTATGTCCAAGGCTCTAGGCACGTGATGTAATATATACAGAGATGGGGGAGCAACAGCTTCTTTTAAAGACTTTATAACCTTAGGGGATCCATCCGTCTATCCATCCACCTAACACGGAGACCAAGTGACCTAAGGTAAGTGACACACAGGGCTAGTGGGGTTCAGTGTGGAGTGCCCATCTTCTAGGGAAGCACTGAGGAAAAGCTTTTACTGAGGTAGAAGCATTTTATGTGGTCCTTACGAGAAGCAATTAAACCAATTCTTTAAAAAATTAAGACATCCACATCTGAACTCTTAACCACCAGCTAAACATAGAGGCACGAAGCCGAGATTTTCAGGGTACAGGAAATACATTTACAAACAGCGTCAGTAGAAGCCGTGGGCATGCGCGTAGAGGCCACGGAAAGCCAGGTTACCTTCCAGCATGCTGAGGTGCATGGCGTCATTGGCTCGCTTTGGCACACTGAGCATCACCTCGAGGCCATCTTTAATCTCCCCTTTCCCTTCTTCACAGCAGGTAAGCAGCTCCTGTGGAAAACCAATACCTTGAACTAGCCAAAGACCCAGAGACGCTCTGCGGATCAGATCTTTGCAGAAACGAAGGTGTGTATGAAAACCCATGGCTTTCGAAATAAAACAGACTGAGGTCAACTGGGCGTGTGTTCTCACAGAAAACGGATCACCGTCTCTTTTCCCAAAGGATGGAAGGGTCTGTCCTGCTCAAGTCAGGATATTTCTCCACATCACAGTAATCCAGGGATAGTCACGTTTTAAGATAAAATTTTAGTATACATGTTAACTACCAGACCTCAAAAATGATAAACAAAAATATTTAATTGGTATAGTAGAGCACAACAAGCTACTGGTTTTATCTGAAGGTCATGCCAGAGTCAAACTAGTATTGCTATGCTTGCCACGTGGTCACAGCATGATTTTGAACTCTTTGGTGCCATTAACTCAATGCCCCAACTAATCTGGAAATGCCAGAACAATGGCTTGTGAACAGTGACACTGCAGGATTATCCAGTCAAAAGTGTTTCCTTTGTGCCAGGGATGTTGAGAAAGGCTCCAACTACTGAATTACACCTCCCCGGGGAGATGTGAGTGTGTAAGTGTATTTCAGACCTACTTGGAGGAACATCCTTTATTAAGTGAATGACGGCAGCAGGAACAACAAATTTACATCCTGGTGGTCTCCAAGACAGATTCTTATCAGAATATTCATGACCACGGTCAGTTATAACAGTAACAACAGCTTTTTTGTGTCCCAGTATTCAGCTAAAGAGGGACAGGACACTGGCTTCACACAGGATGGTTTGGAGTAACTCAACTACCTAAAAAGCACTTTTACTCACGACCAGATGATGTTTACGAAGGATTCTGAGCGGCATGGCAAAAAGTGCTTTAAAAGTGCAGTATGTTCTGAGACTAAATTCACTGACAGAAACTCCTCCTGGCTGGGGAGCTCAAAATAGCTTTTTACTGTTCTCTTGAAGAACCCCTGGGCAGAATAAAGAAGGTTTATAAACTAAGGCCCCAGTTTAAAAGAGACGAGCTGGGAGATCACTGTGTAAGAGAGCCTTAGTAGAACCACATGCTAAAAGCAAAATACTGAAATCTTGAGGACACCAAGGGATAAATAGCCTTTGTAGAATTAGAAAGCAAAGGGTAAATTTGAATATAAAAAGCTTAGCCTTTTGAACTCTTATTTCCTGTCTACAGCAATTACCTACTTCTGCAGAGATGGTCATAAAATCACTTAATGGAATTTTGATATAGGAAGGCAGGAGAGCTTTTCCAACAGGAAAGTCCCGAAACAGAAGCACTTTCACAGAAAGAACGTCGTCTCTTCTGTTTCTAGATCTGTCTTCTTAACAAACAGTAAAGGTGCTTTCAGGCATCCCTAACTCTACCTTCTGCATCTCTTCCACTTCTAGAAAAATAACAGCGGAGTTTTTGCAGTTGCAGGGGCAGCACCTGGGACCTGGTGGGACCCGTGAAATATTGTTCCTGGGATGAAACAACACACTCTGCATTCTAATAACATTTACCAGTCAAGGAAACATCAAAGAGAACACTGCCAGACAGAAGTTGCAAACTACTTTTACGGAGTCAAGAAAAATGTGTTTTGATTACGTATACTGCATCCTGAGACGACTATTATTACACATTCTACGTTTTCTTTACCATTCTATTGTCAAGAGGAATCAAATGCTTTTCATCAGTCTGATGTGAATTAAAATCAGTCATAACCAAAAAAAAGTAGAAGTCAGCTTGAGTTAAAAACACCTGTGATCTGCATGAACTACACGCCCCATAAAGGTGTGTGCCGCACATGTCTAGGAATGAGACACAGGAAGCTGCCTGAGCAGATGTGTGGGTTCAGTGGAAAACCCAGGCATCAGCCAGACCTGGGTTCAAATTTGCACGCAGGTAACAGGTGGTGCTCGGTGATGGTTCTGGCACGTATCTTACCCTTAGAGACTGGTCCCCATATTTGCAGACCAGCACTGTTGAGAGGTTAACGTGCACAAAGTCTACACCATTGTACCTGGCCTCGAGTCGGCAGGCTGTGCTGACAACTGATGGGACTAAAATATCAGTAGTTCACAGTTTCTCATTCCCTTCCCGTTTATGTTAGAGACTCCGGTCAGTCAACAAAGTTCAGTTGCGTCATCAAGGAATCTACTCTTATTTAACTGCTACAGTGAGACCCTAGTCACGGCAATAAATGGCAATGGGTGAAAAAGTAAAACTAATTTGCTAGGTGTTATTTAAAAAATACAAGGTAATATACAGAGATAGCAAAATGTCAAAATGGTAACACCCAGTTCATAAAATGCCCCAGTCTGAAGACTCTTCATACTTACTTTTAAAAGGAGCTGATACTTGGTAATTCGCTGAACTGGTTTGATAAGGTAAGAAGAGATAGAATTGGCTAATCCATGCCGCTGCTGTATCTCCTGTATTAAAAGAAAATATATGTGTACATATAGATACAGACTTTGAATATCACTGGGTGGTTGGTTACTGTAAATCAGAAATTTACATTTATTTACCCCTTAGATGTATACACATATCACAATTTTTCTGTAAATATAAAGCGGAAATCACTATGAATTCTTTTAATAAACTCAATAGAAAAATGATAAACCCTTATTTAATAATAATAAATCTATTAGAAATAATAAATGTCAGTCACTTTAACATTTTGAACATTAAAGACATCAGCCTTTACTTCATATTACTGGCTTTAACATGCAAAGATGAAACGAGGCAAATTACCCCTCGAAAGCTGCCCCCTCTCCAGGCCAAGGCCAGCACGCTCAGCAGACAGATACCTGTTCTCCTACCTGCATGCTACAGCAGCTTTTACCATGTTAACACCCCAACCACAGACCACTCCACACATAAAACATCCCTTTTGCACCCAATTCTCCCTAAACAGGCTTTCCTTCTTCCTCATTAACAAGTCAATGCACTGTCAATTAATTCTTGTCTTCCCTCTGCTCTCATTTTTCACTATCTACTAGGCCTGGAGGAACCAGTACCTGGAGAAGGACATCATGCTTGGTAAGGAAGAGGGTCAACAAAAATAAGGAAGACCCTCAACGAGATGGACTGACACAGTGGCTGCAACAATGGGCTCAAACACAGCAATGACTGTGAGGATGGCGCAGGACTGGGCAGTGTTTTGTTCTGTTGTACAAAGCATCGCTACTGTGAGTCGGAACCGACTCAATAGCACCTAACACCAACAACAACCAGCCCGTAGTTTTCACACTAACCTGTTTGCATTTGAATTATTTTAGCTCTTAACACTCTTCCAAAAGTTTAAAAAAAAAGATTATCTTCTCATATTCTGTATTCCCGATTAGATTTACAGCTTTTCACATCTTTGGATTCTGAATCTGTCACTTTGACTGAGGCCTCCATGAAAAGCAGACTTACAAGTCATGATCTATGACTCCTCAGGGAGGTCAGCTGAGGGAATCTCCAGGGGACCTCTCATCCAATCCTTCCCCTAGCTTCCGAAATCATAGTTTTAAGTTTCTTTTCAAGATATAATTGTCTAAAAATGTGGGATTTATGATTTAATGATTGTAATACACACATTCATATCTAATATCACATCTAAAAGGTATTTTTTCACAGAGTATAATGCACAGGTCTTAAGTACACAGGTCAATGAGTTCTGACAATTGTTAACACACTTGTAACAAACTCCCAAACCAAAATACAGGACATCTCCAACATTACAGTGAGTTCCCTCATGCCCGTTTCCAACCAATCACCCCATCTCATCTCCCCCGCCACCCCTGCAAGAGGCAACCCGTTCTGACTCATGTCATCATACATTAGTTTTGCATATTCTAGAATGTCACATAAAAGGAATATACCAAATGTATTCTTCTACATCTAGTTTCTCTCATTCAATATGTTTTGCAGATTCATCTGTTGTGTGTATCAGGAGTTTATTCCCTTTTATTGCTGAGTAGTATTCCATTGCATGAATACACCACAATACCTTTAGAAGATATTGCAATGTCTTTTCAATACCTTCTTTTAACATTTTCAGAAACACATCTCCGAGATTTCAAAATTCCAATCTCAGTATTTCTGTTGACATCCTTATGACCTTATTATAGGGTTACACTATTCAAAAATAGCTACAAGATCAGTTTTTTGCAAACTACTTGACAAGTGTTTCAGGAAAAAAAAAAACCAAACCCACGGCCGTTGAGTCGATTCCAATTTCTGCTGAATAATAAAGTTCCCTTTCTCTAAAAGGCTGTTGGACTAAAACTTTTTGCTTCTAAAATTTTATTTTAAATGGGAGAGGCAGAGAGTTGGAAGTAAATATCCTTCTTGGTCAGTGCTTCACACTTTGCGTGTCTGTAAATATTTAATTTACATGCACTGTGTACTTGAAGTTCCTATTCCTCATGAAGAAGGTGGTCACCTGTCTCATTCACCGCTGTATACTAAGCACTCGTGAGAAGGCTCAGTGAGTTGAACCAGAACCTGGGACGTGTTCGATAAAGCATACTGCCTGAAAGTATAATTGAAGGTTAACAGATGTCTTGAGGAATGGAGGCAGTTATAAGAGAAAGCCTCTTTAAAAAAATACACCACCATACAACGAACACTGAACCAGTTGTTGCTAAACTGACTCTGACTCACGGGAACCCCATGTGTGTCAGGGTAGAACTGTACTCCATAGGGTTTTCAGTGGCTGATTTTTCTAAAGCAGATTGCCAGGCCTTTCTTCTGTGGTGTCTCTGGGTGGACATGAGCAGCCAAGCGTGTTACTGAAGGCCTGCAATCTGTGAAACATATAAGCTAGGGGAACATGACTAAAGCTATGTTTCAGGGCACAAGGATTTTTAAAACGGCCCTGATTCCAAACATTAAATTTGCTATATGTTCTCACTGCTTAGGCCTCAAATGATTCTAACTCTGCTTGCAGCCACAGCTTTGCGTGTCCTCTGATGGCAAAGACCTAGTTCTGTAAAATGTGAAAGGGGAAAGGCAGCAGTGGGCTGGGAGCAGACTTCACGTTTACAAAGGCAGCGATGCATAAATGCTGGTCCTGAGAATGACAACCAACACAGGATCTGAAGCAAAGGACGGAAGGTCAGCTTCAGGCAGGGCTTTGCCTCAAAGAGAAAAACTAAAATCTATTCCAATTTCCCAGACTTCCAGAGAAGAGCAGATGCCACACTCATCCATGAACTAGGGTAAAAACATGAAACAAGTCCAATGTTCCCAGTACCTCATACACCAAATGAAATAAAACATTCAAAAGTAGCTTACCCTTTAATCAAAGGGCATTTGGTACATATTTGATTAACTTCTAGGAACCAAAAGGCACCCTACATTATATCCTAAAGCTCCATTCTTTTTTGTACTAAATAACCTCCCTGCAACAGCTTTCCAAAAACACATGCCCTGCATCTACACTTACTCCAATCAGAAAGTAATTAATGAACATTTCAGTTGGTGTTAACCATTAAAGTGCTATTTGTAAAATTTTAATATTAGGCCACTTTTAAGGATTAAAAGGAACCCAGGTAGTGCAGCGGTTAAATCTATTGACTGCTAAGCGAAAGGTGGGCGGTTTGAAACCACCAGCAGCTCCGAGGGAGAAAGATGTGGCAGTCTGCTGCTGCAGAGATTTATATCCTTGGAAACCCTATGCGGCCGCTATGAGCCAGAATTGACTTGACAGCACTGGGGTTTTTGGTTTGGTTTTTGGAGATTAATAGCAGCATAAAACTAAAATAGGAGAAATAAATGATTTTTAAAATTCAAAATTATTTTTGTTTTAGAGAGGAAAAGCTTAATTTAATAGTATATACCTTCTATGTACAATATTACATATAAAAATTAAGGTCTGCATATAAGTGGTAATTAATGACATATATACATACATACATACATATATATGTACATATTTAAATCTGAGTTTCTCATAGATATACAGCTTCTAGTACTTGAAAGGACCTTTTAAAAATCTCCCCTTATTTTTTTAAAATAGAAGAAAATGTAAGACCATCCCAACATAAATGCAATAGAGAAAAATGAAAAGAAAATACTGTGCAATCAATTAGATGAAAGTTATGAGTAATGCTGCATTATATTTATACTAAATACTACTTAGAAAATGCCGAAGCTTTCTTAGTAATCTATTACTTACATCAAAATAGGATCCCGCGTGCTCTAATATCAGCTGAGTGGAGTCAGGCTTATTTTTGCAATAAGTGACATACATCTGAAACTTGTCTGCCTATAAATAAAAAAATTGAATATCTTACTCAAACTGCAACAAGTCAGAGTACAATAAACTTTTATGCAGAAAAGAAGTTGTGTGGGTAAAGGAAATTTAAGCCTCAAATAAACAATATCCTATTTTAAAAAGACTGCTGAAACCATTCCTGAAGCCCACTTTTTAGACAAAGATTAGACAGGTCTATAAAACAAAAAACAACACACTCGAGGAACGTGCTTCTTAGTTCAATCAAATATATGCGACCAAATGGGCAGCTCCTGTCCAAAAGCAGGACGAGAAGGCAGGAAGGGACAGGGACTGAACAAATGGACACAGGGAACCTGGGGTGGAAATGGGGAGCATGCCGTCACATTGTGGGGACTGCAACCAATGTCACAAAACAATATGTGCATAAATTCTTGAATGAGAAATTAACTTGAGCTATAAACTTTCACCTAACGCACAATTAGGAAAAAAAAAGACAAAAGGATAAAAAAAAATTAAAAAAATAAAAAACATCCTTCTGCTGATACTACACAGACCCAAAGACTCAAAGACACTACCTCCAGAAGTTTTCCCTGACCTGGCAAGTCAGGATGGGCACCAGTCCTCTCTCTTCCCACAGGGCTGTGTGCAAACCTCAGCCAAGTGCTTCTGGTGGCATGACCACGGCTAATGTGTCTGCCTCCCCACAGACTGGGAACTATTCCAGTGGGGCTGGGCTCTCGTGCACTGGTGAACCCCAGGGTCAAGCCAAGAGGCCTGCCACACCAAATGTTCTATTTCAAACCACCACTGCTGCTAATAACCTCATTCCACAATAATACTTAGTTGGAGAATGCAATTCTTTGAGGTCAAGCGTGTTTCCCTGTATATGTAATAAAAAGTATCCAGTAGAATACGGTAACTTAAAGGAACTGAATGTTATTCCCTCTAACGTCCTTCAGTGTCACTAAATAATTCTGACAGAACAAGCAGCTGAGGTTTCATTACCCAAGTAACAAAGCAATGGCCGACGTCCTCTGGCAACTGCTCGTATTTTTCCAGCTCCTTTAGGAAAATGCTGCAAAGAATAACAATGTTATCACAGAAGAGAAGCGCACATTATTAAGGTGTTTTAAGGCATTTTACTGGTGAGATGATAACGTCAGGTGTTAGACCAAATATATCATAAATTCAGGCGATGCTTGAAATTGATCGTTTTAATCAAGTGAAGTGAAAAACCTGTACTTTCTAGATTTGAAGACTGAACAAAATGTACAGCTTTTAACTCAGGTAAGTTATGGTGACTTTCAAACAGCTCACTAATTTAGCCTTCAAACATTTTCTGACAGAAATTCTGACCTAGTGGCTTACTTCTGAGAAAGTGCTAATGTTTATTGCTAAGGATGTAAATGTTCAGTCAGAAGAAGCCACTTAGCACGCTGGTGACTTCAGCTGGGAGCAGGGGTAGGGATGTGAGGAGAGACCAGACCAGCTCTGCCCCCAGAGTCATCTGACCATTGGCCAGGGGGCTATGGAGACTCTACCTAAAGGAGCTTCTGCTGCTCTTCTTTAAATTTTAAAAATAAACCCACGTGGCTCCGTGGCCAATGGAAAGTGCATTTCATTCTGGTCTGACAGCGTGTCTGCTCCTTCTCTTACAAAAGGTAAACAACCTGGCCAGCAGGCCCTTGAACCCTAAGAAGTCAGTAGTGAGGCAGCTGACGACTCAGCTTCAGAGAAGCTGGAATTCCTACAGAAGCGTTTTCTCCAGTTTCCCTAATCTTATTTCTGTAAAAAGTAACTATAAATATAAAACTATGTGTGTATTAAGATTGTACATTGTCAAAGTCTTTTGGGAGAAAGCTTGATAAGCTTCACTCAAATAATTTTCAGAAAATCATGGGAATCTGTAATTAATTCAAACATAAACTTGTATTTCTTGTTATGAAACTTCCGCACGGTATCTAGATTCCAGGAGTAACCACTGCCCAAAGATGAAGCCACTGACTTGTTATGGAACTCGTAGATCTCCTGCATGTTGCCGAAGATGATGAGCTCTTTGTTGACGATGCCGGGTGGGATCTCCTCCACGCCACTTGTCATTTCCCACAGGTAGGTCTGCCGGGGGAAACACAGGGATTAGACAAAAGTCGACACCAAATGCTCAAGAAACACCTACTGCTCACATCTGTAAATACATACTCAGAGTCGCGTATACAGGAAAATACATCTTAAGAGACAGGCTTTTACAAAACAATGTGAAAGACCTTTTTAAAAGTCCCTCAGTTGTTACGAATACTTGAGAAGAGTAGCTATACTTTTTAACTCTTAACTTACTCACAGCTTCCAATTTGGGAGTGAACACACTCCACGAGGTACAACAAGCATTCTTTTTACTACTGGGTATTATCTGCAATCATAACCACTCAGCACATTTCTCTGAAGCTGCTGTAAAATTCTGTACACAAAGAATGTCAGCCCGGCCGTCATGGGACAAAGAGAATGAGGGAATTGACGCTGTATCATCTCTGCAGAGAGGCAAACGCTAGCCTAGAACTTCATAGAAATGCAGAGGGATGCGGCTAGCTACCTAGGCACACTTTAAATCTCAACAATAACAACAACAAAGCGTGATTATTCCAAGAACTACCCATAGGTAAAAGTAAAATTGACAAGATTATACTTCATCTAAGCAAACAAGCGAAAAAACAAAACAACAACAAAAAAACTTCCTTACATCCATACACTCCCGAAGATCTCGTACATAAGCCTTTTCAGTCTGAATTAGCTCAGCCATTATGAACCTTCAACAGAGTGAGACAGTGAATAGTTAACAGCCAGGACATACGCTTATTTTATTATTTACGTCTATGAATTTATGAAATAAGAAGGCAGTTTTAAAAGCACTCTTTTACAGAATGAACTCAAGAATCAACAGAACAGTAATAATGTCCAGTTACCAATTCAAAGGAATAAAAAAGATTCTGGAAAAAATCTTATTGAGGTATCTAGGGTTTCTCAACCTCAGCACTGCTGACATTTTGGCCTGTCTAATTTTTTGTTGGGGGAGGCTGTCTTCTGCACTGTAGGATGTTTAGCGGCGTCACTGGTCTCCACCCCCTAGATGCCAGTAGTACCCAAACCCCCAACTGTGACAACCCAAAATGTCTCCACACATTGCCAAACATCCCCTGGGGGGCAAAATCGGTCCCAGCCGAGAACCACTGCTTTAGAACAATCTTGTCTTTATTTAAATCTAATATAGCTTAATAATTGGCAACTTTTAAATACCTAATTTTGCTTCATTAATTTCTTCTCCTTAGTATTACTACTCATGACCTATTAATGACAAACGGCATTAAAGCAATGTGTCAGCCTCAGAGAAAGTAGGGGCATGGGGATAAACACAAGACACTGTTTCTGAACCAGGCGACAAGGGGACAGTGGTGGATACAGTGACTTCTGAGCTGCAAAAACTAAGCAGATTCAGAGCAACTCAAAATAGTAACACTGTTCGACTTCAAAGCACACGAAGAAGCACATTTCTCCAAAAGACATTGTCTTCGCTTTCTGAATGAATCCTGGTAGGCTTTAAAGCCTGGCTTACTCTTTCCTGCGGGCCGACTTCCGCTTCTCCTCGTTCAGCTCGTGAGCTGCATCCCGGAGCTTCACCTCTGACCCGGGGGTGCTGGCGGGGATGATATCCAGCTGAAGACTTTTACTCTGTGGAATGAAGGCATCAATGAATTTAGTTAATGAACTCAACCCAGAGGACGTTAATAACACTGAGATTTATTCAGTTTGTGTAGGGCAGTTTACCGATTTGTTGGAATCTGAAGAGATCCCCAGGGCTTTCTCCAAAGAGGTCCTGTACTTCTCCATCCGAAGAGAGAAGTCTCTGTACCTCTTGTCCACAGCGGTGACACATTTTTTTATCTCTGCCGCATGGGCATGCCCCTTTTCACAAAAGCCATCGGCCAGCTGTATCAACAGCTTCACTCGCTCTTTGGTTTGCTGCAAAAAGACAACAGGAAAGTCCTGTGTAGCAAATGAAATCAACTGCTAGAAACCCCAAACAGTGGCAACCAGGGACGGATTACCCAGGAAGCAAGGTACGCACGGGCGTAACTGCACTTACTTAGTAATCTGCAGTGCACCCTTCCACCTGGTTTTCACCACGTCTTTGACGAAGTGCTCTCACCACAACCCACGTGAAACTGTGCACTATGATGAGTAAGTAAACGTAAATTCAGCCTACTGGCTAGTCTGCCCCAGGTGGCAACTTGCCTACAACTCTGAGTTCTGAACAAGAAAAGAAAACTGCGGGTGGTAGAAACTGAGATTAAAACTCCGAGTCCATCCAACCCATCTCCCTGATTCCACACTATCTTTCCTCAGCTTGTCCGCGATAAATTGCTTTTGTGACCTCAAAGAAACTAGACTTTCATTCAACAATGTCCTCATCTGGTAGGTGCCCAGTAAAAATGTGTACAATGAATGGACGTTCACGCAGGACGTTCTCTGTACAAGTCTGTTTCTCTCCTCCTGTGAACACAGTGTTACAAAATGGCTGGGCAAAGCCATCTCCTTGCTTTTTCGTATCTATTCTGTAGGGTTGCTATGAGTCGGAATCGACTCTACGGCAGTGGGTTTGATTTTCTGTTTTATTCTATGTGCCCAGTTACACAGAAAGCTCCTGCAGGGCAGCAACCGCCTCATTCTTCCCCCATGGCAGACCCTCAACAAAATCCCCATGAAGCTCCTCCCATGTCACATTTTCATTTCCTTTCTCTCAGTGAATCAGGAGGAAAATTCTCTAGTTAATCAGGAAATTATCATCATAGAGATATTTTAAATTTTGTTTAATGTTTTAGAACTCTTTTAGAAAAAAAGACTATTTCATTTTATATGTACATAGAAAAGGAGCTATGGTGGCGCAGTGGTTAAGTGCTCAGCTGCTAACTGAAAGGTCAGCAGTTTGAACCCACCAGCTGCTCTGAGGGAGGAAGACGTGGCAGTCTGCTTCCTTAAAGATTACGGCCTTGGAAACCCTCCGGGGCAGTTCTACTTTGTCCTACAGGGTCGCTATGAGTTGGAACTGACTCAACGGCAACAGATTTTTTTTTTTTTGTATACAGAAAAGATATTCTTACTAAGTCAACCATAACTCACTACATTTCAATAAAGTGAAGGCTAACCGGAAAACAATGGCTAAATATAAGGCAGCAACTTCACTCAACTTTGATTTTTCAACAGATCTTTAGCCACATCCATTTTGTTTATTGTTAATACTAGGTTTTCTTCAGCATTCCCACATTCTCACTGACATTTCAAAAGAGCGCAGTTACTCTTCTGCTAAGAAGCCCTAGAGGCGTGATGGTTAAGCAGGGCTGGCTGCTAACAGAAAGATTAGTGGTTCGACTCCACCCAGCAGCTCCTTAGGAGGAAGACCTGGCAGTCTGCTTCTGTAAAGATTACAGCCAAGAAAACCTTATGGGCAGTTCTACTCTGCCCTGTAGGGTCGCTATGAGTTGGAACTGACTCAACAGCACACAACAATAATTCTTCTGCTATGGAAATCGCCTTTTTTGTTTTAAGTAAAGTTGTAACTAGAAAGTCTTTATGACTAACATTCCAAACACTGACTAAAAATTCTGAAAAGCAAGAAGGTCAGAGTTCAAAACCTGGATAAATTATCTTCTGAGTTTATCAAGTAACAATTTTGAACAGAATTCGTAAGGCAACCTCTAAAGTCAGCTTTAAAAATACCTTAGACTCTAGAACAAATCCTACAAGCCACCCACCTGGCCTAGAGGTTCCTAGTCTCCGCATACCTAGAGCTTCCCCCCTGCCTCCTCACCCCAGCTCCTGCATGGGTGCCCCTGACGCCTGGAAATCTCCATGCCTAGGTATCTCCATGGGCCCTCCAGGGCTTTGTTCAAACAAAGGTCACCTTCTCAACCCAACTCCCCTGACCACCTTATTTAAAATTGCAGCTTGCCTCCCTGACCCCAACTACCCTAACCCTGGCCGCTCTATTTCTTTCCCATAGCACTTACCGCCTTTTTTCTTGTTTGTTCTGCTTACTGCTATCTCAGACAACATCCATGAGTCTGGGCATTCAATCAGTATTTACTGAAGAACACCCTAATACTAGGTTCTTGAGTCAAGTGTGTACAACGTCTGTAACGTTAATGGGCGAGGTAGTTTACACTCCTCAGAAAAAGCATGTCACCTTACCAATATCTCTGTGGAAAAAAATCACTACTGTGACTCTATAAAAGCTTTTTTAAAAGTCAGCAAACCTGAAAAGGCTCTAAAGCTTTCTAGGGCCTCCATCTTGTATGGCAAGTAGAGTGACGTGAACAGAAACGCCTGTCAAATAAACCTCTGAAGAGTCATTAAGATGATACCTTGCTGGATATGTTAAGACAAGCCTAATTAGAAGGCAAGGAAATAAAAATTCAAAATTTCAGCCTTCAAAGCATAAATTCCACAAGGGATTTAACTTAGAAACATTACTGTGAATTTTAATATTCAAGAGAATTAATATGAGCAGTGCAGGATTTTTAAAAATTAGGCTCCCTAGATAAGGTTTGGTTGCTGCGTGCCAATGTATTAACCTGCTAAAGAGCACAGAAAAGTTGTACCAGTACCAGTTGTTGCTGAGTTGATTCTGACTCATGGCAATCCCATGTGTGTCAGAGAAAAACGGTGCTCCATGGGGTTTTCAACGGTTAATTCTTTGGAAGCAGATCACCAAGCCTTTCTTCCTAGACACCTCTGTGTGGACTCGAACCTCCAACTTTTTGGTTAGCAATTGAGTGTGTTCAACATTTCCCCACCCCCCCCCAGTCATACCAGTTCACTCCCCGACCGCCCCCTCCCCCCCGTAATGGACTTCATCCCACAGCCTCATCAATACTGTATGTGACCAACTTTTTGATTTTTGCCAATTTACTGGGCACGGGCGGGCGGGGGGAATGAAATTCAGTATAGTTATGATTTATACTTTTCTCACTTTAAGTAAACTTAATAATCTCGTATGTTTAAGAGTCATTTATAATCCCTTTCCTGTAAAACATCTTTAATATGTTTTGTCCATTTTTCTGTCTTTTTTTTATTGATTTGTAAAACCCCTTTACTAATGGGAAATCAGCCCTTTATGATATGAATTGCATATGTATCTTCCCCATATGCTTTTTTTCTTTAGATTTTGTTTATGGTGGCCTGCTCTTTAGAAAGTTTTACATTTCTTAATGTCTCCAGTAACTAGCTGCCCTCAAGTCAAAACGGACTCATGGAGACCTTGTGTCAGAGTAGAGCCATAGGGTTTCCAAGTGGCTAAAATCTCATACTTCTTCTAATGCTTTTATATTTTCACTGGTAATATTTAAATTTACATCCTTCTGGCATTTATCTTGGTATCAAGGTAAGATATAAATCCAACTTAACTTTTTTTCCCAGAAAGCTACCTATAACACCATTAAAAAAAAAAAAACAAAAAACCTAAGTCTTTTAAATGAAAGATTACATGGCTTTTCATTCTTAATCCATCTGTTATCTCTAGAGATTGTTACAAAAGTAGATTATTATTTAAAAAGCATATAAATATTATAAATTGAACAACTTCATCTACAGGCATCATCAAGGAATTAGAGAAAAATAAAAGTAAATTGGATTCCTAAGTCTACGTGCTCAAAAGAACTTTGACTATCATGTCCTCAGGCAATCACAAAACCAGGAAGGATGGGCACTCAATGGTCTTAGATGCTTTCTAGCAAAGTAAAGCAGTTGGCATTGGGGACACTAGTAACCAGATTGCAGGAGGCTGTGCAGGGAGAAGACTGCAAAGTTCTGAGCGACTCAGTAAGGAAGCGAGTTCAAACTTCATCGTGTAAAAATCACCTGGTGAGAGCGTAGACAATGTCCACCCCCGGCGGCCCTTCTCCTGTAGACGCTAAGTCAGTGTACTGGAGTGAGGACAGAAATCTGTTTAAAGGAGCACCCACAGCCTGGGGGCAGTGATGCCTGCTGAGCACTACTGCATCAAGAGATGCGAACATCTCAACAGGACAGGGATGAGGGACGGTGGTTTGACCGTACAGTTTTCCTTCTATTAGCACTAAAAACGTTATACCGGCAGTCCCCAGATTATGAACGAGTTCAGTTTCTAAATCTGTCTTTAAGTTGAATTCATATGTAAGTTGTAACAGTTAGGTACAGTTTGTATCTAACATCAGTTAGTCAAGTATTTATTTTAGTATATCGTGTATAGTTCTATGCATAAAACAATAAAGAAACACTTTCTGATACACAAAAACATCTTTAACATAACAATACAGCAATAATGTTTTGATGTGTGTTGCAAAGTAGCGGCCATTTGTTATTACGAACCATTGTACATATCTCCAACTTTTAAAATAGGGTTTACTGGGGTGGTTCATGACTATGGGTTGTATATAAGTCGTTTGTAACCTGGGGACTGCTTGTAATACCAATCACTGTAACAACAGGATTGGAAGACTGTCCTGTCAGAGCTAAGGACTGTCTATATAACAACAACAACAAATAATTTCTAAGACATGCTGACAAAGGGCAAGCAAGAGTAGCAGCCTCGTTTCAACATGAAGAACTAAATGACAGCTCCAAAAACCAAAGCGGCTGCTCTCTGATTAAAAGAGAGGCAGCCAGAAACCAAACAAAAGCAAAAATTGCAAAGGGGGAAGAAAAGTGAGTGTTCTTTTCAAAATCTACTAGTTCTTTCTAGCATAACTAATTCAATAAGTCAACGTATTAAACGAAGGGACAGCTTTATATATTTGGGTAATAGGCCAGGTGGCACCTACAATTATAGATGGTTACTGCTTACACAATTCAAAGGCAGAAATATGCCTGTTACTGCCCATTCTTCCAATAACTACACCTCAAATTTGAGGCAAAAGAAAACTTAGGAATAATGGAAATATTCTTTCATCTAAACACTATCGGTGGAACAGGGCTGCTCACATGCTACTCAACTCCAGATGGCAACATTCACATCCTAGTCTACTGCGTGATGCCCCCTGGAGGTGGGCATTGAGCAGGCTCTTTGACCATGCACACCGGCCTGCAGAGTGGAGTGTTAGCTGACCTTTAAAGTCAGCGAAAAGGAGAAATCATAAATCTACCTCTGAGTGCCACCCTAGGCATTTTCTTTTTACTGATATTTTAAATAATATTTTATTGTGTTTCTGGTGAAAATTTACACAGCAAATTAGGTTCCTATTTAACAATTTCTATACATACACTAGGCATTTTCTTAATACTTTTATAAATCAAGGGATAGTCAAAGAAACAAATGTAAATCATACAATACACATAACTATAATATCCAAACATTAACAAAAATGAGAAAATATAGAGCCAAAAGTTTGCTGTATCTAGAGAAGGAAATGATATGATCCCTACCTGCCTGGAGGGTCTGCAGAGGTAGGGCAGGTTAACTGTCCTCTGCGGAACATGGGGACCTCCTCTTGGCACCACTGTCCCCTCTGGGAAGGGCTATCGCTGCCTGCCTGCCTGAGCTCACCCTCCCCAGACGCCCACGGGGCCCCTGTCTGGGGAGAGGTCTTCTCTCCATGCCCGGCAGTGATTAGTCCATCTGTATCCCTATGGGCAGTGCCATCCTCCAGGACAGGGACCATGTGTTCCCAGAGCCCAGCACCCAAGGGGCCGAGCGGAAATAAACTTACAGTTATGGGAGGGGGTGAAGGCAGCTTAGCAGGAGGAGTCAGAAATTGTTACAGAAAACATAAAAAAAGTGCAAATAAGCATAATACAAAGTATCTGTTCAGTGGAAGCAATTTTAAAATTCCCCTTTAGACATGTTTTCAAAGCCAGGGTAAGAGCCACACGAGATAATCAACTGTGACTTTCTGGGAGTACTTTATTTTAACCAAAAATATTACCCAGCTAGGATTGTTTATTTTCCATTCAAATTTGAATTTTCAGCTTTTCTAAAATCTCAAATTTATTACTAAAAACAGGCACTTCTGAAAATATTATAAAGAATATATGCTCAAAAATTTTGGAGGAAAACAAACAAAACCCACAAATTTAGGAGGTAATTCCAGAAGGGTCTCAAAACTGTTTTCAGCTAAGGGGAAGCTTCCCCCTGCAGGTACACACTCCGACGGGGGGGAAAAACACGTCAGCGTGTGAATTCCTATGTATTTGCTTAAAAATTCATATTTACTCACGTGCACTGCACATGGCACTAAAACGTGCTTTACTCTACGTTGAGTTTCAGGAAAAAAGTGAAAATGCCTCCAGTGTTACTGACCTCTGCGTGACCACACAGAGAGCATGGACATAAACTCCACCAGCTATCACCAAAACCAAAACCAAACCAGTTGCCGTCGAGCCGATTCCGACTCATAGCAGCAACCCTAGAGGACAGAGCAGAACTGCTCCACAGAGTTTCCAAGGAACAGCTGGTGGATTTGAACTGCTGACCTTCTGGTTAGCAGCTGAGCTCTTAACCGTTGCGCCACCAGCTATCACACACGTACACAATTTCTTGACTGAACTGAGCGTCAGCAATACCACTGAGGTATTTTTCACAAATTACCAACAGAGAAAGAAAGCGCCAGCAGAGCACATCAGAGTCAGCCCATCACGTTTCATGAAAACAGCAACTACACAGTGAATACCTTGGAAAAGAAGAATGAAAATGACGAAGGTAAAAAGGGAAGGAGATGGGGGGGAGTTAGAGAGGAGTAAAGAAAACAACAGATAAGTGAGTGCGAGGAGATAAAGAGGACAAGTGGAAGGACAAGCTGGGAAAGGCAGTAACAAGTACCACCCCAAATTAGTATGTAACAATCCATTTAGCTCATTCTGCTTCTCTAATTTCAAATGGCATTTCCCAAATGGTATTTTTGGAGAAACACCTCATTTACGTTGTTTTAGGCTGATCTGGAAAAACCTAAGCAGACTTACAGGCCAGTAAACAGAAGTCGAAGTCCCTGGGTGGTGCAAACAGCTAGCATGCTAGGCTGCTAACAGAAAGGTTAAAGGTTCAAGTCCACCCAGAGGCACCTCGGAAGAAAGGCCTGGTGACCTACTCCTCAAAAATCAGCCACTGAAAACCCTATGGTGCATATTTTACTCTGATACACATGAGGTCACCATGTGTCAGAGGTGACGGGGCAGTCCATCACCAATTTTCATTTACCTTTGCGGTTATCTGGAACTCCTCGTGCTCTTTCAAGAGCTCCTGGGTGTGCTGTATACTTGAACCTGTAGAGGTGTGCGTGGAAAGGTAGAACTCCCCGTTATCATGGATCCATTCTAACGCCTAGAGGGAGAAGGAACAAAAAAAGTTCATGGGCTGAACTTTTGTGAGGCAAGTCCCAATTTCTGAGCGTTCCATTTGAAATCACAAGCCAAGGCTGGCAACATCAAGAACTCTCCCTCAGAGAGTGACAAGCTTCTGAAAGTATCGTAATTGCAAAATAATTTTAAAAAATGACATTCTAGAAAGTTCTAATCATGTCACTTATGTAACAATAACAGAAAGTTCGAGGGTTTCTTATAACCATGAATCTACAGGCACAATAAAAGTACAGTGGAAGAACCGTAAGTAAGAGCCTTTGTGAAGACTATTGAGAAGGCCTGTGTAAAGGGGTGCTCTACATCCCTCCCACTGCTAACTCTCCAGACATTCGTGGTACTGAAACTTTAGAACCCTACCACAGTGTTTTTATTTAAAAGAAATACAGGAAAGCAGGCTCATATTCCCACTTCCAAATTTAAAACTTTAGACTTTTTCTTGCTATTCCTGTTCCCCGAGGGTGTGCTCAGGCGTGTAACCACTTCACTAGCTCTCCTGGGGGCTCCTGAAAAGGACCACGTCCATGTGATGTATAAACACTCCACTGAGGAGATTCCGGCCCAAGAAACAGTGACTTAATCCTTATAAGCAGCAGGAGAGAAATTACCTCACCAGGAGAGAAGGGGGCCAGCTGGGCTCATATTGCAATGGAATGATGCAGTTCTAAGTCATATTCTTTCATGTTTTCAGAGAGAAGCTATTTTTTTTCTTATTTTTTTATATATCTGAAGTGAAATCAGACTAATTTAAACATACCCATCTAAAAAGAGCAATGCTACGGAAAACAAGCAAACAAAGGAGAAAGGTTTTCTGTTTTTCATAACCCTCTAAGTCTCTTCAGAGATCTCACAGCATTTGCAGAGTTTAAGAAAAAAAAAGGAAAGGAGGCACAGCCCCTCTGAACATTCAGCTTACTGGGGGAATTTAATTTGCAATGCCAGAGCATGGCTAGCCCATCTCTGAAGCAACGCTGGCAATGATACAGAATCCAGACAGAAAACTCTTTAGTCCATTTCTTCATAAGTCCTTCATTGATCCATTCGAACAGCAACCTGTCCACAAACGGCTACCATGGAGGCCAGCACACTGTGTGAGGCACTTAGCTTAGACCCTGCTTCCAAGACCAAGTCAAGAGACAGGGAGATTAACACCACTACAGGAAAGGCAGATGGCAGAGACAAATAAGGGAGCAAGGGGACCTTACTCAGGAAGCAGGGTCAGAGGGGGTGAGGGCTGAGCTGACCTGCAGGCTGGAGGGGCGGATCGATCGGCACGGGAAGGGCCAGCACTACAGTGGCCTTGGCTGAGCCAGCTCAGCCTGCCGTAGGACAGCAAGACACTGAGGCCGGGTGTCAGGGAGGGAGGGAGGGAGGCCAGAGGTGAGGTGGTGGTGCGGGGGGAGCTTCAAGGTCACAAGTCGAGCTTGGAGTTTTTCTGAAAGCTAACTTGGCTACCGCGTGGAAAAGGGTTTGGAGCGGACAGTGAGTGGAAGGAGCAACACCAGCTAGGAATCTGGTACAGAGGTTGGGAAGAGAGGTCAAGGGTTATGCTGGCGTGGGGCTCTGGGAAGAAGAGGGGAAGTCAGCACCTCCTGGGCCCACTGAGGGCGTGTGGGAAGACTTGGGGAAGCCGAGAATCAAGGAGGACACACCCTGGTCCTTCCTGAACAAGTAAGATAAGGGGTTGTGGCACACTGTCGGAGGGGTACGCTGTGGGAGGGGCACAGTGACAGGAATCACGAGTTCAGCTTTGCCTTTGGTGAAGCCAAAGTGGGGAGATGCCAAGGAGGTGATAACTGGGACTTAGAAATCTGAAGACCAGAAATGGAGATGAGGGCTGGGAGATACTGACGGGACGATAAGCAGAGGGGAAAGAGAAACAGTAACAAGCCCTGAGCTGAGCCCTGGAGAAAGCCAATGTTCAGAGTGAAGGTAAGAAAGCAGAGGCAGTAAAGAGCCCCAGGTGGAGCGGCCGACGAGGAGGGAGGAAGCCAGAGAGGAAGTGACACAGGAAGCCTGGAGGACAGGGACCCATCCCGGGGTGGTGCCAAGGGGGCCACAGTGTCTCATCTCCACATCCCACCAGTGACGGTGGCATTCACTTGTTCATCTCAGAGCGCTATACTGAAAACCGTAAAACCAGTGAAGGCCTTCATGGACTGTCCTATTATAAGCAACTGGTATTTACTATAGGGCTGTCATCACTGAGCTAAACCCGACCGGGAGCGAGGAGGTCCAACGGGCCGGCATCAATAATGGCACCAAATTAACGATTTCATTTTTGGCAGATGGGCTGACCCAAGCAAAAAGCAACAACACGTTCCATTGTCTTTCTCTGTCAAGAGAATTATTTACAATTTTGCTTCTCTGTATTTGAATGATTCCTTGCATTTCAACAGAGAGATAACAAAGAAAGATACGTGAGAAGAGAACATGGAACAATCGCTAATTGGAAACAAGATCAGGCTCCCCATAATTCTGAAGCCTGGTTGAGCCATCTTTAAATACAATGCAGAGGAAATGTAATTTAAACCCTAAAGGAGAGTACTACCTGCTGCCTCGCTGTTGGGAATGTGGTTACTTACTACACAAGATGGTCAGCCATCCATTGCAAGACTAACATTTACCAAGGTGGAGAAAACATATTCCCTAAGTGAGAAACCTATGCAGAAAAAAATTTAATTTTTCTTGGGTTAGAAAGGTTTTATTGAATGCCTAGTATGTATCAGGCACACATTAAGTTGCCAGGCTGATTCAGAAGACAGCCCAGGTCTGAGGTTCATGATGAAGTTATGGGTCACCACTGACCAACAGGACTGAAGAGGCCCCAGAGGACTCTGAGCTCAGTTACAGACACAACATGGATGACACACATCCAGCACCCAACCCAGTCCCAGCCCACCCACAGGTGCCTTCTCTTCCCTTCCCTCCTGACCCACTGAATTCGGGGTGAAGAGTTTATGGATTCTTATGCTACCGTTAAGGCCAAAGAGAAATGTTAATAATCTTAAATCTTTAAGATAGAGGTCTTTACCCCAAAATATCTGCTTCACTGACTGAAGACAGAGGCAGGAGCACTTTATCCCAAAATGCCTGAGGGAGGACTCACTGCATTTTCTCCAATGTAGCCCCTTAATAATGTATCCACCTTAGCCAAATGGATGAATATATTTTCACTATACTGAAGTATTGAAAATTCTGTCGTATTTTTTAGCTCAATTTATCCAAAGAACAAAACTTTGTCCTCATAATACAAATTCAGCAACATAAAAACCACCCATCATAGTATTTACACAGGTACAGGACCAAATTCCACAATAATTTTTAAGTAACCATCGTAATTATTATTTGTATTTTGCTGTCTTTGTGATGAGATAAAGCAGTAGGGCACACTCATTGTTTGAGGGCCAAATGCACCGCGTGAAAAACTTGTGTGAGGTCGTGGGGATTCTTTTTACAACTAACTGTTAATTAAAATGCAGGGCTATCTGGTCATTAGAAAGTGGTTTTCAAAACTGCTGAAATGTCAGAAACTGCCTATCTGACCAGAGGACTAGTGAAGGGCTGGGGGCACACAGGAGCCGGGCACAGTGGCTGACCTGCTTGGCACTTCTTTCGAAGACCACGTACTGCTGGCACTGGTCCAGCCTCCTCTTTCTCATGGTCCAGTAGTGCAATACCCTGTTCTCCCGCTGGAAGAGTTCATTCAAGATATCTGAGGGAACAAAAAAAAAAGACCCATGTTGGTGCTTGCGATTAAAACATGGGGAGACAGAAAAGCCATTTAAAAACATGCAAAATCCTGTTCATTTTTATTTAAAGGCTTTTATGTAAATGCCAAAGGCGCTCTGGTGGTGCAATGGTTAGGCACTGGGCTGCTAACTGAAAGGTTGGCAATTCGAACTCACCCAGTGGCTCCGCAGCACAAAGACCGGGTGATCTGCTTCTGTAAAGACTACAGCCTAGAAAACCTTATAGCTCAGTTCTATTCTGTCGCATGGGGCTGCTATGAGTTGACTGGACAGCACCCAACAACAGCGACAACAGGCAAATGCCACTGTCAGTTAGATTCTTAAATTAAAAAAATCACACTCCTGTCTTGTACAATGTTCTCAGTAAGCACGTCAACCAGGCTGCTACTCATTATCTTCCCCGATGTATTATTTCACACATGCGATCACTGGAGACTTTAAGGTTTGGTCTCTAATACCTCAGGTTAGCTGGAGTGGGACAGGCATATCCTTCCTTCTCTGTCACTTTGGCAATGTGACAATGGTGTGACAATGGTTAGGAAAAATATCAGTATTAGATACGTTGCTCAAGACTATTAAAACTTTCTTGTAGAAGGAATTTAGTATATGGTAAAGGTGGCCCATCAAATTTGTGTAGTACAAGAAGAAATCAGAGTGATTAAAAAATAATAGTAATAAACCCTTAGGAGAGGGAAGAACACAAAGTAGATTAGTAGGGAAGCAGAAACATGAAAAAAAAGTGATTACACAAAAATTTAAAATGTTGCAATGAACAATAATCACTATAAAAACATTGCACAAATGAAAAACTATTTGCAACACATACAACACAGATCTGCTTTACTTAATAGTCGACAGGAAAAGGTGAATAATTCATTAGAAAAATGAGCAAAGCATATAAATATAAAGTTCACAGTTTTAAAAAATGGCCAGTAAACATAAAGAAACATGCTTAACCTCACTCAAACAATGAGACCATCTTTCAGCACTTTCCTGGCAAAGACTGAGGATACCCAGTGTGAGAAAGGGTAGGGGAAAGAGGAGCTTGTCATCATATATTACTGAGGGAGAAAAACTGATACAGCTCTGTGCGCACAGTGGTTTGGCAATAGGTAACCACACTGAAAACGGACACACCTTTGAACCAGGAATCTGTCTTGTGTACTCACGGCTACCTGTACTCAGGTGGGAGAACACTGGAGCGCTGTTTGGGACGCTGAACAACTGGTAGCAATCTACATACTTATCAACGGGGCACAGGTTAAATCAAACCATGAAACACTAGGTGGACGTTAAAAAGGACTCATTGCCGTCAAGTCAATTCCAACTCATAGCAACCTTGAAGGACAGAGTAGAACTGCCCCATAGGGTTGAACCGCTGACCTTTCGGTTAGCAGCCAAATGCTTAACCACTGCTCCAGAGCCCTGGTGGCTGAATGGTTAAGCACTTGGCTGCTAACCGAAAGGTCAACAGTTTGAACTCACCAGCTGCTCTACAGGAAAGTGGCAGCAGTCTGCTTCCATAAAGATTATAGCCTTGGAAACTCCATGGGGCAATTCAACTCTGTCCTACGGGGTCACTATGAGTCGGAATCAACCTGACTTCAACAGGTTTGGTTTTTTATTTGGTTTATTAAAACGGACAGAGCAGATCTTTAATTCTGACATAGCAGGATGGCTAAGATATATTATTAAGCAAAAGGATAAGTTGCAGATATTCATCTGCATAATACCATTTCTGTAAAAAGGAGTAAGCACGGTGGGTGTGTGGAATATATATATATAATATTTACAGAGCTCTGGTGGAGCAGTGGGTAAGTCTCACTTGCCTACAAAGCATAAACCTTTTGCCCCCGAGTAGAATTCTGGAAGATCAGCACAGAACGTTTCTCTGAATTTTCCACAGCGTCTAGCATTATGATATACAGTGAACATCAAGTGAGTGAATAAATAAAACATACTCTTACCCCACTCCCTTCCCAACAGGCACACCTATCAAACTAGAACAACCTAGAAAGGATCACAACACCTTTAAAAAGAGAAAACAGAGTATGACCAACACACAAAAACAATATTGAGAGTTGGGAAAAGGGAAACTATTTTTATATGAAAGGAGTAAACTAAACTAATAATCAATGCAAAAATATTCTAACTGAATCATGATCAGGAGGAGGAAGAAGTCAAAGAGAAAAATTAGTAACAGACATCTTACTTGGATTCCAAGGTTTTCTTACCCAGGAAACCAAATATTCACTATAAAGAAATTCTTGAACAAAATTAATCCTGCCAGCTGTTTTCTTCACCCAAAGTTGCTAATCTTTTCTTTCTAGGTCAAAGCCAGGCTTGCTAAATTTGAATTTCAAAAGGTGTGGCTGCAGGTGGGTGGAGGGCCAGAGACCACCCTGTGACCTGCTATCAGTTGATTTCAGTAAAAGACAAGAAGGGGGGCAGGGCTCAATCAATGATGTTAAGATTAGCCAATGGTTGATCTTCTATTCTTCTCCTTCCTCTTCTCTTTGTTAGCCTCATTGTAACTTGCTTCTTCTGGAATCAAAACGGTTTCCCTATAGCATATAGGAGCCCTGCTGGCACAGTGGTTAAGAGCTCGGCTGATAACCAAAAGGCCAGCAGTTCAAATTGGCCAGCCACTCCCTGGAAACCCGATGGGGCAGTTCTACTCTGTCCTATAGGGTCGCTAGGAGTCAGAATTGACTCAATGGCAACGGGTTTAGTTTTGTTTTTTGTTTTTATATGCATAGACAATAACTGCTTAGAATAAGTCTTATGTTTCCATTTCTTTGAGTTTTGATTATTTTTTAACACCAGTATGATAGAAAATTTTTCTATGACAACAGATGAATCAGATGAACAGAGTAAACTGTAATCTAGAAAGTTTTTGCCACTCATATTTTTTTAAAAAGTGAGAGATGAGTCATTTCTTAACTGATTATTGCAATTTATTTTCTATAAAACTCAACTCTAAGAGTGCAGGCTGTGCAACCTTGTTCAGGTGGTTCATGACTCCATTCCTCAATTTCCTCATTGATTTAGTGCCCACCTCCCAGAACTGGTGGCACAGGGCTACGGCCGCCAACCAAAAGGTCGGCCATTTGAATCCACCAGCTGCTCCATGGAAACCCTATGGGGCAGTTCTACTCTGTCCTATAGGGTCACTAGCAGTCAGAATCGACTCAGCAGGTTTGGTTTTGGTTTTCCTAGCTCATGATGGCGATCAGAGTTCAGAGAACAGGGCCTTACTATCAAGACTGTTTTAAGCAACTCTCACCATCTTCTGATGATCCATTTTCCATGCCATTTCAATTACACATGCAAAAACTACAATTAAAGTTCTAAACTTATATACCACTTGAATGCATTCTACTGTAAAATTTTCAAACGATCAGAATTCTACGGAGTAAAAACTTTAAGTCTTCTTCACTTTCCACCCCCACCAGTGAGGATAGCGCAGGACTGGGCAACATTTGTTCTGTTATACGTAGGGTAACCATGAGTTGGAGCCGATTTGATGGCCACTAACAACATATATTTTCCCAGACCTTTTTTCTATACAGTTATATATACATATGTGTATGTGTATATACATATGTATTCGTACATACTATGGCGGCTAACCGAAAGGTCAGCAGTTCAAATCCACCAGGCGCTCCTTGGAAACCATATGGGGCAGTTCTGCTCTGTCCTATATGGTCGCTATGAGTCGGAATCGACTTGGTGGCAATGGGTTCGGTTTTTTTTTTTTAAAGATCTGATAGATCTGTAAAGCCAAATGAAATCAAACTATATAATATAGTATGGTTTTAAAATTTTCTTTTATTAATTAAAAATGTCTTAATATGTAAAATTAACAGTTTACAGCAAGGATATTGGCAAATAATTTCTTGATTTGCTCTTTTAAAAATAATTTGCCTATAAATAATTATCATTTTCATTTTTTTCCTTATTTACAATATATTCACTTAACTTTACCACAAATAGCTGTGGCAATAAACATCATTCTGAATGCTGTATTTTTCCCTTTTTATATTCTTCAATAAATTGTCAACCTATTCAATATATTGCCAACCTATTTATTACTTTTATTAAATTAAGATAATTAGCAAGGACTTTATTTACATGAATCATGAAACGGAGACAGCTTTAAGATAAAGCTCGAAACCAAAATTTTTCAACACATCTTGTTACAAGCTCCTTCCGTTTCATATTGGGCATTAATCCAGGTGTACTCTGCTGACTCCTAAGTTGCACTTACTTTTTACTTGCTGCTCAGGAGCTTTGATATGCGTCACCATTCCTGGCATGTTCACACTATTCCTGTGCAGGTATTTCAGGAAGACATCTGCATTCCTTCTAGCAAGTGTGCAAGCCTAAGAAATAATGGAGAGCAATGTAAGTCCTTAATTTGTCTTATTCAAACATGTACTTTCAGTATACCTGGGACAACAACATCATTTGGCTCTAATACACGTCTTTACCTAAAACTTATGTCTGGCCAACTTATGGTTTGGAGGATGCATAAGGTTAAATACTACTCCAATTAAAAAAACAAACTCTGTCTCTCTGACCGCTCTCTGATGAAACGAGCTGCTGTGTTGTCAGCTGCCCTATGGAGAGGCCCACGTGGCAGGGTACTGAGGGCAGCCTGTGGCCTACAGCCACAGAAGAACAGAAGTCCTTCTCCAGTGTAGCCTTGATTTGACTGCTGCAGCCCTGGCCAACATCTTGATTGCAGCCTATGAGAACCAAGAGCCAGAGGAGCCAGCTAAGCTGTGCCTGGATTTCTGTAAAGGGCAGAGCGTAAATACTTTTGGCTTTGCTGGTCATAGGTCTCTGGCTCCCTGTTGCTACTACTCAACCCTGCCATTGTAGACAAAAATGGCCATAGATAACGTGTAAACAAGAGGGTTTGGCCAATTTTAGCTCTCAGGCCACAGTATGCTACCCCTGGTTTAAACCAGTGAGCTTTGGGGTAGTTTGCTATGTAATATTACTGTAATAATAAACAACAACTGGTATTGCAAGTTTGTATATATTTGTGCAGTAGATAAAGCAAGCAAGTAAGTTCGTTAATGTGTTAAAAAGCCAACGTTTCCATGTAAGAGAAAAGGGACAGAAATATAAAAATCAAACTAGTTAAGAGAAAAAATTCTTAATTATATTTGAATTAGAAATATCAGTAGAGACTCAAGCTGTTTTTCTCTCAATAATAATTGAAAGGAAAAAAAAAGTACCCTACTTTCATCTATTGTAAAGGCCTGAAAACAATGTCCAACCCAGTAGTAATGAGCTCCCTAGTGCCCAGATTGTGGTCTCTAAGTACTATTTACCACTAGAAGAGCTCCCTGAAGTAAAGATTAATTCTAGATCTAGGACAGGAAACGTACAAGGTAAGTCTGAAATAAGCTGACATACTAAACAGCAGGGAAGCTGAAGACTACTGGGGTTATGACAAAAGGACATAGGCGCCAACCTGACTTGAAGGGGCTCCCACCAATGGGCCAAGGTGAATATTAAAAGATGAGTGACTATGATTAAAACACACCAAACACATTAAAATCCATGATGATACTAAAAAAGAGTCACATTTGGAGGTTGCTAGGCCAACTCATTGTTCTAAAAATGGTAAATGAAGGGAAAGAATCAAGCAGTAACTGCCTTTCTTGTATAAACTATATTTCAGAATAACCAAATAGCTGAGGAGGGAAAATTCTTCTTTATAGAATAATACTAGCTAATTATGGCAGAAGGAATGATAGAATTAGAATATCATCATTTTGCAACTCCTAAAGAAACATATCACCACTGGCTTATACTAAGTTCACTGAGTGAACGCTGATGGGGAAGATCGTAATCGATGAATCAGACTCACCACATTTGAACCACTGATAAATCTTAATATTGCACAGACGAAAGAGGAGAATCAGGTATCGTGTCCTTCCTTGATGTGATGCAACAGGAGAACGTGGCACCACCTCTAAGGTATTCTAAATACTCCCACAGAACACGTACACACACAGCAAACCTGAATCTGATCTAATAGAAATTTAGAGGACTAAGGATAGTGCTAAACGACACCATCGGATGCAATTACTAAAATGCAGAACAGAGGAAGTTCCAAAGTCTGAGTAACCTATTTCTTCAATTACTTAATGATGATGAAAAGGGCGAGGGAGGAAACTGTTTAGATTAAAGGACCCTTAAGAAACATATCAACCAAATCAATATGTGGACCTTATATGGACCCTAATTAAAATCAAGTATAAAGACATTTATGGATCAAAGAAATTTAAATACTCCTAGATTTCAGATAATATTCAAGAATTACTGTTAATTTTTACAGATATGGTAATAGTATTGTAGTCTTGTTTTAAAAGGGAGAATTTACTACTTAGATATATACTGAAATATTTATGAATAAAATTATATAATACCTAGAATTTAAAATAATCCAGTGGTAAGGGTGGAGTAGCATATTCCCATATGTTGATGATTGTTGAAGCTGCGTGAGGAGTACACTGTTTAGGTTCTCTCCTGTTTTGTACAGACTTTTAAATTTCCATAATAAAAAGTTTAAAAATATCTAGTACACACACACTACAAAATTTTAGTTGAACAAAGGAATCCAAACAAGCTTTTGATTATTTTGTTTTATAATTTTACCTAAATAACTTTCTTAATTATGTTAACTAAGTGATTTTCCATTTTGTTTCATACTGAATGGATTCCAGAGAAATGGAATCAAATTATAATGATTCTAACTCAAAATATCCTAATGGGGTTGGCATTTAATAAACAAATATCAGCAATAGGTTGGGGCTCAGCCTTTAAGATCCTGTTTGCAATAGTTACAAGTAATGACTCTGTAGAAGCTACAAGTGTTTTCCCACCTGACCTGCTTTTAAAAAAAAAAAAAAAAAAAAAAACACTACTGTGGTGGAAGCTTAAAATAAGTTAACAGATAAAACTTTCAAAGAGTTATAATTTAATCTCCCAGACTAAATGATAACTCTCTGTCAAGACAATTGATCACCTTCAGAAAAGACACAAGAACTATTAAAGGTACAGGCAGTTCCCGGGTTACGAACGTCCAACTTATAAACTACTCATAGTTACGAACCAATCCCCCCGTAAAGCCTATTATATTAAAAATTCGAGGTACATACAATAGTTCAAAATAACAAACGGGCGCTATTTTGTGACACACATCAAAATGTTTTTATTACTGTATTATTATGTTAAAGATATTTTACTGTGTCTGAAAGTGTTCCTTTAATGTTTTTAAGCATAGAAAGGTACACTATATACTATATACTAAGACAAACATTTGACTGACATTATAGATGAACTGTACCTAACCGTTCTGATTTATGTACAAAATCCACTTAAAGACAGCTTTAGGAATGGAACTCTTCTGTAATCCGGTGACTGCCTGTAATATGACGGTCTCAGAGGGGTCAGAACGCTGAAGCAGTGAGAACCACAAAACCTCAGAAAGCAATAATGAAACTAAACGGCACACCTACTGGACAGGTCTGGGTGGTAACAAGCAGAACTTCAGAAATTCTTTTTCAGGGTCAAAGAAGGCAATGTGGAAGCATTCATGTCAAATATTTCTTAACATTTTGACCCTTCCATAAAATCTGCTTCAAAGAACAATTATATATTTCCATATATAGATATGACGACATAATTTTTTAAAATTCCTCACTTTAAGCTTTTCAGAGGCAGAACTTCCAACCTGGTTGAATGTGATCAAATCTGTCTTGTGGGAAACATTTCCTGAATAAGTATTAGTAACTGATCTCGTAAGCCAAAAAGACAGTCTTTATTCCTAAAGAGGCAGAATTTTCAAAGGAAGATACTTTTCAACTATAGACATTTTGTTACCCCAAACCAAATGCCCCACTAATCAATCAGTCTCTGTCTTCAGAATCAGGTGGTATTGTGCTTCTAGTAACTTCCAACCATTCCTTATTCACACGGATTTCTAGCTCTTTCTCTGAAAACTAGGAAGATAGTGTAAATCACACATGAAAAGGATCTTACAACTTTCTTTGATCAACTGACTTATCACTGACATAATGCTACCAGTCACTCTTCCACACGACATTGGAGCTGTGAGCTGAGGATATAAGGGGGAGTCTGACTTGAGAAGCCAAGACTGTACAGGGGCCTGGACAGAGGAGGGTCTCTAGCCCACAGGGTTGCTTCTGACTGAGAGTCAAGACATTCTCCATCATTGACACCTCAACCCCTCTGGATTTGCATAGTGTCCAGTGAGGCCCCGGCACCCAAGATAGTCAGCACTGTACCTTCAGGAATGCTTCCTTCTGTTCCAGGTGTTTGCTGATCATTGGTGTGACGTGGTCCGTCTCAGAATTGGGACCTAGCTTGTCGGCTCCTCCACACCAGTCTTCTTCCCTCTTGTACTCCTGCTCCAGGCTCTCGAGGACACTGCAGACCTACGAGCACAGGGAAGTTCCCAGCTCAGAGACCACTCGCACCTAATGTCACACATATGCATCTTTAAGAAGCATCTGCAGTCAGGCCCTGAGGATGAACGTGTTGGCCAGCAGACCAAGAAGATGAGAAGGAGCCAGGGGCTCTATCTGACTTGAGGACAAATGCATAGGCCAAAGCAGGCAGGCCTTTCAGAAAAAGAACACAAAAAGAGATAAATTCTTTCTCTCTCTGACATGTTCCTGGTCATATATTTAAAGACAGAAAAAGATGTGCCTTTCACTTTCCAACCTATTGTTTTTGGTACCGAAAACCAAATACCAAACTAGTTGTTGTCACGTAGCCTCTGATTCATGGCAAGTCCATGTGTGTCAGAGTAGAACTGTGTTCCATCGAGTTTTCAATGGCTGATTTTTTGGAAGTAGAAGGCATTTCTTCCACAGCACCTCTGGGTGGACACGAACCACCAATCCTTCGGTTAGTAGCCAAGCGCTTAACTGTTGGTGCCACCCAGGCAGCCCAAGGTAAGTAAAAATAATTTCAATTCTAGAAAGCTTCTCTTCCCTGCTTCATTCAGAATTGACCTGCTCAGTACTGACAAGTCAGCAATGACTTGTCCAGTGAGATTAAGTTCAAAATAATAGGCCCACTGGGAGCCCAAGGAAAGGAACGTCTCTCACCTGCTCTGAGGTTTTGTAGAAGGCAACCGACGCGTTCACAAGCTTGAGGCGGTCTTCCATCTTGAGCATGAGCTGCTGCCAGTGGGAGGCTACCTTTTCGGCGCAGTCCCTGATCATGTCCATGTCGTAGTGATTGGCCTGTAGCATCGCCTCGGCCTTCTGCTGCACCTGCAGGGCGCTTTGATGTGTTTTCTAACAAAAAGAGAAAGAAAAGAAAAGGCATACTTTAGCAGGTGTCTCTCCCACTTACTGGAAAAGGACAGGGATGGCTACAGTTATCCCGTTCTTCTCGATTTCATGGAAACAACTGCAGCTAACGCTCACTAGAATGCTTCTAAAAAACACAGCAGTCGGTCCAGGAAAAAAGAGTCTCCGTCTACCAACAATTGGGTTTATACTGAAATTGTCTAATGAAGGATGAAGTCTATCAACAATTTCCAGAATGCAGTCTCAGTTGGGAGGTTCTTAGCTTGAGAAATAGCAGGAAAGAACCTTAACAACCAATATTCTAAAAAAAAGCTGTTGCAAGTGTTCCAGGTTTGTTATTCCTATTGATCCTTCTTATAATAGCCACATGAGTCGCATCAACAGGGGAAAGAAAGGCTTTTTATTTTTGTTTTCAACTTAAAATTTGGACTCGAGCAAAAAGTTCTCAAGAACTATTGATTTTAAAGAGACAAAAATTAAATAAAAGCTAAGGATGAACCAAGTATGTTCTCTGGAGGTCCATGCCCAATAATAAATGTGTCAAAATAAAACTAAAAGCCCGTTAAGAATTTCTGCTCCTTTATGCTCAGGAGAAGAACTAGTGAGGGGGCTTCTTCAGTGAAGAACTAGAATGCCCGGATGTAGCAGTCAGAGGGGCACAACGTTCTCTATGGACACAGGTTTCTTTTTTAAGCAACAGCTGTCTTGCATATCATCAGAAAAGGTGCTAACGATCCCATCAAACACTGCATGCGACACAGTTCCGTTAAACAGCAGCATCCTGTGCTCATACACAGTGACTTCTGGCAATTTCATTACTAGAATTGCTTGACACAGAGTACAGTTTTCAAGACATGCAGGCCTCTAGCCTCAGGGATAAGTGTCAAAGTGTGTCCACTGGCTCTAAGTAGTTGAAAATGAATTAATCTAGAGAATAAAGTAACAGTAATTTCTATGGCTTTCTTCTCTGGCTAATATACATGTAAGTAAAGCAGAAAACAAGGGGCTTTCTGCAATTAAATGAGATGTTTTTTCCCCCTTGACTTTACATTGAGCCCAGCCACCATAATTATCCTCTCCCCTACCCCACGAAAGAAATCCCTAGGGCTAATGAACCCACATGCTGCGGGCATTCACTGGTGCAGACCTGGAAATGGCCTGTGCTGTTTTCTGAGGCTCCTGCACAGCACTAACCCCTCATTGAGGCATGAGACGTACTGATGGACAGTGTTGTTCTTGAACGGGGGTCTGAGGAGCTTTGCCATCAGCACTGTTTGTTGATAACAGTGAACTCATGACTTGCATATTGTCCTGAGGACAGGCCTGGGGGTTCTGCTTCCTTGAAACTGGATACATAGTAGGAATATGCCTACGTGACAGCGAAAAATAGATACCTCAGCCGAGACTCCACTCTGGGCTCTCGTGTTCTCAGGTGCTCCTGACGGAAGAAAGTGGGCCCCGCCTGAGCCCTTACAGAGGGAGACCCTAGGAGCCCGCCCTGGCCTCTTGGACCCTGAGCTGTGAGGCACACCCTCACTTCAACGCAGCTGCTGTGACTTCCTATACTGAGCTGTAGACCTGTCAGCTCTGTCGCTTTGGGTTCTGTGAGCCCACATTAGCAATCAAGCCCTGTGAACTGCACTGTCAGTGCCACGTTGGGGAATTTGGTAGACCTGCCCTGAGGCGGCACAGAGGTGGGTCATGGGCACCTTACCTCGATGGCATGCTGGAACTGCTCATGCTCCCTCTGCAGCTGCTCTGCCTCCTGCAATGAGCTGGCTGTGATAAGGCCGGCATTCAACATGGACTCTCCATTGCGGATCCAACCCAGCACCTGAAACATTACACAGTTAACTCCAGACCTTTCCAGTGCTCTCTGTGGACCACGGTGCCTGGATACATGTCCTCAAGGTGGTCGAGCTGCACCTGTCACCTACAATTTATTATCCTACTGGCAACAGCCTTATATCATTCGATGGCATCGGACCACAAGTGCTGTGTCATTTTTAATCTGTCATTTTAGTAGTGAATGGGAGAGAGCAGGAAAGGTTGAGGGTCTAAGGGACTGTTAATACACAGGTCAAAAGAGACTGAGGGCCATATAAGAAAACCTACCAGAACGAAGGATTCCCTGATAACCAAGAAAAGTATTTTTCATTCACTTTCAGTCCTAACAAACGTGCAAAATTAGCAAAGTGTTTGATGAAAGAAGTATTTTATTCCACTAACTATTTTTCCAATTTAACGTCAGGGTTAAATGGCAGAAGAACCAAAGTATGAATTAAGTTGTACTACAATACCACCATGCGTCTGTCAGTTTGTTGTATATGGTGGCTTGTGTGTTGCTGTGATGCTGGAAGCTATGCCACTGGTACTTCAAATACCAGCAGGGTCACCCATGGTGGACAGGTTTCAGCAGAGCTTCCAGAATAAGGCAGACTAGGAAGAAGGACCTGGCAATCTACTTCTAAAAAAACTGGCCAGTGAAAACTTTATGAATATTAATGGAGCTTATTACTAACATCCATTAATAATCAGAACAAGGAACGTAAGAAGTATGAATCTAGCAAAATTGGGAGTGGTCAAACATGAAATGGAATGCATAAACATTGATATCCTAGGTATTAGTGAGCTGAAATGGACAGGTATTGGCCATTTTGAATCAGACAATCAAATGGTCTACTATGCCAGGAATGACGAATTGAAGAGGAATAGCGTCACACTCATTGTCAAAAAGAACATTTCAAGATCTATCCTGAAGTTCAACACCGTCAGTGATAGGGTAATATCCATATGCCTACAAAGAAAGCCAGTTAATACGACTATTGTTCAAATTTACACACCAACCACTAAGGCCAAGATTAAGAAACTGAAGATTTTTACCAACTTCTGCAGTCTGAAATTGATCAAACACGCAATCAAGATGCACGGTTAATTACTGGTGATTGGAATGCAAAAGTTGGAAATAAAGAAGAAGCTGTAGTTGGAAAATATGGCCACATGATAGAAACAATGCCAGAGATAGCATGATAGAATTTTTTGCAAGAACAACAACCTATTCATTGCAAATACCTATTTTCAACAACATAAACAGTGACTACATACATGGACTTCACCAGAATAAATACACAGGAATCAAATCAACTACATCTGTGGAAAGAGACGGTGGAGAAGATCAAAATTATCAATCAGAACAAGGCCAGGGGCCAACTGCAGAACAGACCATCAATTGCTCCTATACAAGTTCAAGTCGAAGCTGAATAAAATTAAAACAAGTCCATGAGAACCAAAATATGACCTTGAGTATATCCTACCTGAATTTAAAGACCAACTTAAGAATAGATTTGACGCACTGAACACTAATGACCAAAGACAAGACAAGCTGTGGGATGACATCAAGGACATCAACACACGAAGAAAGCAAAAGGTCATTAAAAAGACAGGAAAGAAAGAAAAGACCAAAATGGATCTAAGAAAACTCTGACACTTGTTCTTGAATGCAGACTAGCTAAAATGAACTGAAGAAATGATGAAGTAAAAGACCTGAACCCAAGATTTCAAAGGGTGGACTGAGAAAATCAAGTATTATAATGAAATGTGCAAAAACCTGGAGTTAGAAAACCATCAATTCAGATTTCTCAAGCTGAAAGAACTGAAGAAAAAATTCAAGCCTCCACATGCAATATTGAAGGATTCTATGGGCAAAATGAGCCCTAGTGGCACGCACAGTGGGTAAGAGTTCGGCTGCTAACCAAAAGGTCAGCAATCCGAATCTACCAGCCACTCCTTGGAAACCCTACAGGGTCACTACGAGTCAAAATCAACTCAATGGCAACGGGTTTGGTTTGGTTTTATGGGCAAAGGATTAAATGATGCAGGAAGCATTGAAAGAAGATGGAAGGAATACACAGAGTCACTGTACGAAAAACAACTGGTTGACGTTCAACCACTTCAGGAGGTAGCATATGATCAAGAACCAATAGTACTGAAGGAAGAAGTCCAAGCTGCACTGAAGGCACTGGCGAGAAACCAGGCTCCAGGACTGACAGAACACAAGTTAAGATGCTTTAACAGACGGATGGATACAAAGCTGGAAGTGCTCACTCGTCTATGCCAAAAAATCTGGAAGACAGCTACCTGGCCAAATGACTGGAAGTGATTCATATTTGTGTCCATTGGAAAGAAAGGCGATCCAACGGAATGGAGAAATTATTGAACAATATCATTAACATCACACACAAGAAAATTTTGCTGAAGATAATTAAAAAATGGTTGCAGCAGTACATCGACAGGGAACTGCCAGAAATTCAAGCCGGATTCAGAAGAGAACATGAAATGAGGGATCTCATTGCTGATGTTAGATAGATCCTGGTTGAAAGCAGACAATACCAGAAAGACGTTTACCTGCGTTTTATTGACTATGCAAAGACATTTGATTGTGTGGATCATAACAAATTATGGATAACACTGGGAAGAATGGGAATTCCAAAACACTTAATAGTGCTCACGCAGAACTTGTACACAGGCGAAGCAGCAGTCATTTGAACAGAACAAGGGGATACTTCGTGGTTTAAAATCAGGAAAGGTGTGCATCAGGGTTGTATCCTTTCAACATACTTATTCAATCTGTATGCTGAGCAAATAATCTGAGAATCTGGACTACATGAAGAAGAACGTGGCATCAGGATTGGAGGAAGACTCATTAACAACTTGCGATAAGCAGATAATACAACCTTGCTTGCTGGAAGTGAGGAGGACTTGAAGCGTGTTCTGATGAAGATGAAAGACTACAGCCTTCAGTATGGATTACACCTCAATATAAAGAAAACAAAAATCCTCACAAATGGACCAATAAGAAACATCACGATAAATGGAGAAAATACTGAGGTTGTTAAAGATTTCATTTTACTTAAATCCACCATCAATGGCCATGGGAGCAGCAGTAAAGAAAATGGAAAGACATACTGCATTAGCCAAATCTGCTGCAAAGACCTCTTTCATATGTTAAGAAGCAAAGATGTCACTTTGAAGCCTAAAGTGCGTCTCACCCAAGCCATGATATTTTCAATCACCTCATATGCATGTGAAAGCTGGACAATGAATAAAGAAGGCCTAAGAAGGATTGATGCATTTGAATTAGTGTTGGCTAAGAATACTAAATGTACCTTGGACTGTGAGAAGAACGAACAAATCTGTCTTGGAAGAAGTACAGCCAGAATGCTCCTTAGGAGTGAGGATGGTGAGACTTTGTCTCACATACTTTGGACATGGTATTAGAAGGGACCAGTCCCTGGAGAAGGACATCATGCTTAGTAAAGTATAGGGTCAGCGAAAAAGAGGAAGACCCTACAACAAGATGGACTGACACAGTGGCTGCAACAATGGGCTCAAACATAACAATGATAGTGAGGATGTCGCAGGACAGGGTAGCGTTTCGTTCTGTTTTACACAGTGTCGCTGCAAGTTGGAACCAACTAGACGACACCTAATAACAACAACACAATGCTCAGAGTCAAACCATGAGATTCTCAACTTTACACACAAAGAGAACAGTCAGTCCTGATGCTGGAATCCATAGAAGGTATGGGAAGTCGCTCAGGGTAGTTCTTTGTGGCGGAGACCACTAGTTGTCTGCCTAACACCCACTCTCTTTGCCTACCCAGAAAATTCCAACTTTTGGGGGAGGAGCTTAAAAAAACCACCTCTCAAGCTCTATTACAGCTTGGTCACACACAGGACACAGTTCTAGCCAATAAGGACAAAGCAGTAGCCTGTGGGGGACTTTGAGCAAATATTTCCTTCCTGATATAGGCGCTGCCTCTTGCTTGCTCTTCTCTCCCCCTTCTTGATCCCTGGAATGTGGAGGCGATGGCTGGGACCACAACAGTCATTCAGCAACCACAAGGGAAAGGCCACACATCACAGAGCCACTGAACAAGCACCAGCTACCTTCTGCCTCCTGACTTGTTACGTGGGGAAAACAATTTTTGTGAAGCCATGATCTTCAGCCTCTGTTACTCACAGGCAAATGCAATTTCTACCAGATACATTAGTTTCTTCCTTTATTTTTTAAATGAGTTGTTTTGCTTTTGGCAAGAAGGACCACTATATTAACTTGTCTTTAAAAGGCAGGCCACAGCACTTCATTTCATTCACCTATGGAAAAATATCCATACTACTGATCGGCACAGAGGAAACCAATAGGTGCTTTTAAAAAAATTCTGACATAACGGTATACTTGCTTTAAGTGAGTGCCACCCATACCTTGCTCACGGTCCAGAGACACCTTAAGTGCCTTCCAATCAAACTGAAATCTACTTTTTTGTACATCTACCAGAAATACCACAAAGCCCGACTCTCCCTGCATCAGGCCAGCTTCATCAGTGGTTTGATTCCCTGCTCATGGGATAAAATGTCAGATACCCGCTGAAAATACATATACATGGAATCCTACTGTCATTGAGCCTAAAGCAATGCATTCCAAATGTTCCAGTCTTATTTTCCAGGCCATTCTAGGATCTGGTATTAGCGCGTCTTGATAACACAAGAAAAACCCCAGTACTCACAACTCGTGATCCTGTCCAGATTAATTAAAGGATATTTGGCCAAAAAATCAGTTTTATTTAGTCTTGGAAGCAATGCACGCAGAGTCTGAAGTGAGAGACTACCAATAACAAAACAAGCTGAATAGAAGGTTTACTGGTCACTTTACTCTCAAGTGCTAGACCTGCTGAGCTATGAAGCCTTTTCCACCACACGGCAGACAGCTGTCCAGTCCACTGGCTCAATTTTTACATGACAGATACGGCTGTATTCGCTTAATACACACACATAGTCGACTCTCATTATTCCTAGTAGTTATGTTCTATGAAGTCCCCGTGAACACTGAATTACTGAATATCAGACCAGTCTTCTGAGTTGGACGACTTAAATTTTTTGCTGCTCTGTGCATGCACATGTCCGTGCATAACCATGAAAATGCCACAAGTATTGATTTTGGCTACAGATCAATTTTAGCAAGTAGGCAAATTCTCAAATGCAGAATCTGCAAATCACGTGGGTTGACTGTTCATACGTACATAGTGTGTGTACTATATTCATATTTATATCAGGCCAGCTGGGCTCTGATCAGGAAGAGTCTTCCCCAACGCTTACACGTCAGAATTACCAGGGGAGCAGAAGTCAGGTATTTCTAAGCAGGGTCCACCCCAGTCTTGCTTTACATCCAGCAGTCTGTTTACCTGTTTCACTTCAGCCTGCAGATGGCGGAGTTGTACACACTGCTCCAGGTGCTTCCGATGCTGTTCTGCTGCTAAATCCAGTTCCTGCTGCTTTTCATGAAGAAACTCCAGCAAGTCCTGTACCCGAGTTGCCATATCTACGTCTCTATCGCAAAGCAGCTCCACACCTGCAGACATTGAAAAGAGACCCTGGAATTCAACTAGCACTCCAACCTGCCATTCTTAAATGGTGGGTAACTGTACAGTCTGCTTCTGTGAATGATCTGCCCAGCTGGGGGACGCGTCATTATTTTGAAGTACAAGTTCAAGGAGGGCCTAGCCAAGCAGAGGAGATGAGTGTGAGTTCACACCTGCCTCTCAGCGTGTGAGTGTGTCTGAGGGAATGGACTGACCTGTTTCAAAGCCAAATATAACATACAGCTAATCAACAGCGGTTTCGTTCTTTTGTACGTAGGGTCACTATGAGCTGGAACCAACCCAACGGCACCGAACAACAATAATCAACAGCTGATGGGATTATCAGACCAGACTCCAAGTTTCCTACTGTATAGCAAAAAACCAAACCCATTGCCATCAAGTCGATTCTGACTCATAGCCACCCTGTAGGACACAGTAGAACTGTCCCATTGGGTTTCCGAGGCTGTAAACTTTATAGAAGCAGACTGCCACATCCTTCTCCCATGGAGTGGCTGGTGTGTTCAACCACAGAGTTTTTGGTTAGTCGCCAAGCACTTGAACCACTGTACCACCAGGGCTCCTTTTCCTATTGTAGAGTTCTATACAAATACACAAACAGTTCCCTATTTGTTTATTTCACTGAAGATACAAAAATCCATTAATTCTTAATTATTTTCTTAAAAACAAAAAAAAAAAGATAAAAAGCCAAAAAATTCATTGATCCTGGTTAGAGATAACCAGTGAACTACCCTTTATTCTGAAAATTGGTAATTAAGGGAGAAAACCATTTATTTAAGCATTCAATGATGAAGAAAATGTTCTCTTTACAGATGAACCCAGCTATGACATGTAAAAAGAATAATAAAATTTAAAAATCACCTTTTTTAAAGTTCTAATAAGATAACTGTCTAATATATTGGTAACTACTGAAAATGTGACATCCTTTATAAACAGTGAACTTTGGTTTGCTTCTATAATCATCTATATATACATCTTACTCTTTAATAAGCATTTAGTTTGATCTGGGTAAATGGGTAATGCAGTATGCAGACCATTGCTGAGTAAGTTTCTACTACTTTCAAGTTTTATCTACATTTTGAGCCTATAGTGACATCTGCTGGTAAAATATAAACTAAGAAAAAATGGGCAAAGAATGTGAAAAGATTTTCTTGAAATTTACATTTCATTCACAGAAGTAAAACAACAGATCATTTGTAAAATTAAAGTTTATGCTACTTGAAATAATAGGTCAGAATATTAAGGGTAAATACACTAACCATAATGTTAAATGGGATCAAATTATGTGAAAAATATGTGAAATGTTTCCTTTGAGAGAAATTTGCCCCTAAAAGACTACTGGCAGTCCCCAGGTTACAAACGAGATCTGTTCCTAAGTCTGTCTTTAAGTCAAATTTGTAGGTTAAGTTAGAACAGGTGTATACAGTTCTTAGCGTCAGTTGGTCAAATGTTTGTCTCAGCATATAGCATGTATTTTACCTTACTATGCACACAAAACGCTTCAAGACTCCCAAACCACTCAACGTTTTCATGAGCATCACAAAACAGTGCATGCGTTCATTATTACAACCCTTGTATTTAACTCAAAGTTTTAACATAATAGGCTTTTGGCAGTCTGTTCTTAAGTACGAGTTGTCCGTAAGTCGGACATCCGTAACTCGGGGACTGCCTTCAGTTTAACTCTGTAGTCATCACACTGAAATAAACTGGACGAATACTTGTGACGAGATGAAGAAACCACCACTGACCCAGGTGGCCACTGGCTCTTACCCGAGGCCTGCACTTCGTTGACATACTGCAGAAGGTCCTGCCCTTGGTGGATGACATCAAAGGTCAGGTTATTCATGGTCAGGGCTTTGTCCGCGTGGTGCTGGAGGCGCTGCTCGGCTATCGTGAGGTCTTCCGTGTCAAAGTCGTTCATTTGCTGGGAAAGCTCATCATTCCAAGACTCAAGGTCTGAAATGATCTAACAGAAGAAAGTATTTGTTTAAGATCAAGGCTTGGAAAACAAATACCTGTTGGGATATCTTATTGTGCCAGTACGTAAGGAAGACACTAATGGGAATAGGTCAGTAGGACACAGAAGCTGGTGGAAGGGTTCCCACTGGCCAAAGATGAGACAATTAGATAATCACAAAGAGAAATGTCTACAATTGAGTGAATCACAATAAATATACAAAATTCCACTAATTCTTAATGTTTTTTTTTTTAAATGAGGAGCCAAAAAACAAAAAACTCATTTTTCCCTAATTAGAGATAGCCAAGAAATCAACCTGTATACTGAAAATTGGTAATTAAGGGGAAAAAATGATTCATTTAAGCATTTAACTATGAAGGAAATTTCTTCTTTATTGATGAACCCAGCTTTTACATGTAGAAAGAATAATAAAATTTTAAAATTACCTTCTTTCAAATCCTAAAAACTATTTCAAGACAGCGTTCATCAACATACAGTAAACCATCAAGAGAAAGGCTGACTGGGAACTTAACAGTGGGAGGATCAGGTTGTCACCATTTGAACATGAAGAACAATCTCAGCATCACCAAAGAAGTGGGACAACCAGACATGGTACCTTCAATGGATGGACTATGACACAGACAGCACCAAGGATGGAAAATTCTTGCAAAAAACTGAACCTGAATCAAAGCAGGCCTCGATAGTTAACTTCTAAGCTTACAGAAACTATCGGGTAAAGAAAAACAAGCTAAACAAACTAAAAGCAATTAATCACACAAGTGCAGAATGAGACTTAGGTTCTCGAACAACTGATCTGATTATTTCAACAAGTCATGGCATGAAAAAAAAAAAGGAAGAGGGCAGAAGGAGAAAGATTCTAGAATAAGAGACTAGCCATCAAATCAAGAGTGGCCCCTGAAGGGCCACTGGTCACTGAGATCCTTGGGAGGTGTGACCATGGCCTGGGTATTAGAAGATGTTAAAGAATGATTGTTAATTTGGTGAGGTGTCTAATGGATAGTGGTTATGTAAGAAAATGGCCTTAATTTTAGAGAAACTATGGAAGTCATTGAAGAAGTACAGCCAGAATGCTCCTTAGAAGTGAGGATAGTGAGATTTCATCTCACATACTTTGGACATGTTATCCAGAGGGACCAGTCCCTGGAGAAGGACATCATGCTTGGTAAAGTAGAGGGTCAGCGAAAAAGAGGAAGACCCTCAACAAGATGGATTGACACAGTGGCTGCA